ACCCCAGCAAGGATGTGTATGCCTCTTTTAAAAAGGTCACTGTCATGGTCTGCAGACTTCCACCAGCTTCAACTTTATGCCTGCAATTGGTTTATTATCAGTCATATTATACCTAAGTGAAAGCCTTATCTTCAGTAGTTTAGTGCTCCAAAACTACAATGTCTTCCTGTTGTCTCTAAGGCAGACAATTGCAGAGCATGGATGACTAGTTGCCTGTTCCTGTATTTGCAGCTATTTATTTTTTGGGAAGGAATTTTATTCTGAAGATCCTGCTTTCCCATTCATGTTACTCAATGTTTACTTAGAACAAGCAGTGGAATACAGCCTCATAAGTATATGTATTTAAAAGTTGTATTGTTTCACCAAGTCTTACTACCTACAGCACTACCCAACCTTTACTGCAATTTGGTATATATATTACTTTTGGAGATAAGCAGTACTTGGTATTCCTTTAAAAATCTAAGTATGTGCAAAATATGATAGGATCACAATTTTTGTGGATTTCAAGGCTAAGCAAGGAACATCTCTTATCCTTTCAGAGCAAGAAAATTAAACATAGGATAGAAATCTCTCCTTATTGTGCAAAAAGCAACATTAATTGGCATTTATTAGGTACAGCATCAAATTTTATGATACATTCCTTTATCATTTTAGGAACAAATGGGTACAGCAGGCTGAGATAGAGGTGATGTATCTGTCCAAATCAGCAACCCTAATCAAACAGCAATGAATCAACCACAATAGTGCAGTTAGCTACACTACTCAAGGATTCTTTCAATTCATCACAGATGCAGAAAGAGGGTTCCTATTTCTCCAGATCAAAAGCACTATTTGATAAACTAGGAGGACCTGTGAAAGTTGCTGGGCGAAGTCTTGAAAACCATTTCCCTTTATGTTTTTTCCAATGTCAGTTTTTGAAGACAAGGAGGATCTTTTAACCAATTACATTATTTTATTTTTCATTTTAAAATGTGCATGCCTCCTCTGATAATGTCATCCTTTTCATCTCTGGAAAATTGGAAGTCTATGCTACTTTCCTACTGAGGAAGTTGTCTTTCAGGCCAACTACAGTAATTCAACCTGTGAGCTGGGATTTAATGTATCATTATCAAACATCATATCTCCTTTATAAACCACATCTGCTTATTTAGATTTACAACCTTCATGGCATTGTTACATTCACACAATTGTGAAGTATATAATATTTCCTGTGGTAAGAGAAACAAATTGACTTTCGTACATTTGAAATATCAGCATTTTTTCTGGAGATTTACGTCTAAATACAATATACCCAGGATTTGTTAAACCCTAATGATCCCAACCGGCACAGGTTATTGTTGATGAGAATCTGATGCTGCTTTTGTCAGTTAAGGATGACAAGGTATGCTAGCCTGCCCCATTGCATGGTTCCGAATAGATGGGATCCGGACTCACCAAATGAAGGCTGTATTCTACCTTCGTGTATAACGGGGCAAAGGAATAAAGTACCGCTACGGTGTTAAGGGTTTACCTAGAGGCATCTTCCCTCCCAACGAATTCCCTCCCCCCGTAAAATGGCCGCGAGCACGTGGTCCGAACAGAATGCGGGAAGGCGAGAGCAGCGCAGCTCACGTTCCAGAGGAAAAAACCAACTAAGCATGCGCGAAGATAGGTTCCTCGCCGCCCCGCGCGGGGTGCTTTGCACACGTTGAGGACTCTTCTTCCGCAGCCCGCCATTAGTTCCGCAATCACCGCAGATGACTGCGCTCATCTAACTTACCCCGTTTCTCAGAGCAGCGCCGTCCGTTAGGCGCAAGACAGTAAGAACTGGGTTTCAAAACTAGCGCATGCGCATAAGGACCCAGTAGTTCTTTCTGGGCAACCGCCATTTTGTGAAGCGTCTCTCCCTTCTCTTCTTCCACCATCCCCCGCGTTAAAGAAAGCCTTTCTCCCCAGTTCTCTTCGCTAATCCTCACCCCAACATCCACCGCTCCCGCAAGAGCCCGAGCGCTCTCCGACCAAAGGCACTCACCGAAACCGGCCTCGAAGCAAGAGCTACGTAAAGACCCGTCAGCTACCGAGCCGAGAGAGTATCGCGATGGCGGCCAGAGAAACACGAGTGTTAAAGTGAGGCTGGTTAGCCACGCCTGCTGCGCGGTTCCAGAGCAGCCATTGGGTGGAGCTGCGAGTGGGCGGGGCTTGGCCAAAATAGCGGAGACGCCTATCTGCTCCGGGAAGACGAGGGAGACGGTCGGTGGCGCGGAGCCGCTATTCGCTCCCCCTCATCTGCTTCCTGCACCTTCCTCCTGCAGCCCTATCAGCGCTTGCTTGCTAGGAGTCGCATCTGTGTAAACAGGCGTGCACGAACGGTCCTCGTTAAAGGCGCACGGTCGCGCAGATGTCGCAGCTGCCACGACCGGCCTCCAACTCCTAGTGTCCACTTTCCAAGAGGGTAATATAACGGGGAGAGTGAGCCAAAACCAATTAAGTCGTATAATGCCTCACCCCCAGTTTAGAGATAGGTAAAAGGAATGTTTTGCTGAAGGGCTATCGTTCAGAAGTAAACCTCTAATCAAATGTCGGTGTTGTCCTAGGAAACTTCTGGGTCTGTTGAACCTGGCGAGTGACATCCAATTAACATGCAAGGTAGAAATCTTTTTAATAAGATTTATTCTGCAGAATAAAGGGCACCTGCAAATTGACTTTATTCTTAGCAACGAATTAAGGTCAATTCTGGGGCATCCATAACGTTTATTTCAAAAATCCCCCATTTCGTCAGTACTGCATAATTTCCGTGAAGCTGCAGACAATATCAGTACTGTAATTGGTTAAAAAAAACTAAAAACGGATTGCTAAAAATGATGCACAGAAACTAAAGATAACCGCGGGGGGGGGGGGGAGAGGAATGTGTACCCTTACTTCACAATGCAAATCTCATGAGGTACATAGTCCAAAGTATGTACCCCACAGATACTTTGGATCATGGATTGGATAGCAATGACTTACATTTTCTCACATTTTTCATCACTGCAATTTATGCCAGACTGCTGTAACTCTGAATTTCATTTCACTAGTGTCCACATTCAGTGATCATGTTACATCAACAAAATGGAAGCAAGGGGTATTATATTGGCCAGATTATCATATTTGAGGCATCCAAAAATTTGATTTCACACATTTGTGTGATCTTATATTAAGTGCTGTCACCTTTCAATTTACCATGCCTGATTCCAGAATAGTGAAGCTAGAATAAAATGTTGATTATGTGGCATCAAGTCAATATCAACTCTTAGTTGTGCTTTCAGTTTAATTACAGTACAGGTAGTCCCCAGGTTAAGAACACCTGGTTTACAGGCGACCCATAGTTAAGAATGGAGCCTACTGTAGCAAAATTTGAATTAAATATACAATGATTCAAGTTCATTACAGAATACTTATACAGTATTATACAATACTGTTCTGGCTTACATACAGATTTGACTTAAGGACAGACCTTGGGAATGGAACTCATTCTGAAACTGGGGACTACCTGTTTGTCATTTGCAGAATTTGGAAATTTCATTTTTGCCTTTCCATCAGGTCAGTAGACTATTCCTTCAGTGGAGGCTGCATATTGAGGTGTTATGGAAAACAGTGAAGTCAACTCACATAAATGGATGCAAATGTGGAGCAATTATACGAATGTAGTAAAATACATTTCAGTACACTGAAAAAGATGGAGCAGGAAGTTGAGATAACGTCTCCTTCAAATCAAACAAAAGGTCAGCTAGTCGCCACATCTTTTAAACAGATTCTTTCAATTTTTAAAAAGCTGTTTTGGCATGTGAATATAAGTACTGTATGCAAAAACATTCAAATCAGAACATCACTGATTTGATGTTCTAGTCCAATTCAAGAGAGCCAGTTTGGTGTAGTGGTTAAGGTGCTGGCCTAGAAACCAAGACTCTGAATTCTAGGCCTCCCTTAGGCATGAAAGCTGGGTGACATTGGGCCAGTCCTTCTCCCTCAGCCCACCTCAGAGTTGTTGTAAGGAAAATAGGAGGCAGGAGTATTAGGTATGTTTGCTGTCTTGAGTTTGATATTTAACCAAATCACCAAATTGAACAGCATTTTTTAATATTATTTACACAACACATTCAAGATACAACCTATTAAAGGAACTTAAGGCTTTTAATAGGAAATGTTAATGATCCTCATCTATGTCCTGAAATTACTGTGTTGGAAGGACACTCATTTTTTTGTCAACTATGTACTTGACTGATGAACTCAGTTCACTGTTTTTTAAACAGCCATTTTATCACTAATTCAATTTAAAAAAAAATTAAATCAAAATTTCCATTGCTTATTTCCCCTATTGTTGAGTGAGTTGATTTAAATACTAAGTTGAATTGTAAAGTATTATGGGAACATATAGGTAGGGCTGCATTTGTTTAATACCCAAAGTGTAGGCTTTTGTGTTTGTTCTTTATTTCATACTAAGATTATGTTGTACCACTGAAAACAACTAGAATACATTATTAAGCCAGCAACTGTTCAATCAGTACACTTTTATTAGAAACTCTGCCATGTTGACAGTTTTGGAAACCAAAAATGCTTTAGGGCACAGAGAACATACTTTTGTTGTTGTTGTTAAACTTACTGTATAGCAGTAGTGGAAGATCTAAATACAAGCATTGAGGATTCTATTACTCTGATCTGACATTCTTCATAGTAATTTTCAGGCCAAGCATTGCACAACTTTACTGCAGATATGAACATCCAAGGTAGACACTTTTTGTACCATTTCCCCAGCTTCCAAAATCAATACAGCACAGGAGTAATTATCCACCAGTATACAAGTTCAGTAAGGTGTTAAGATGTTTTCCAATTCTATGTGGATTATTAGATAAAACTATGTTTGCTAGTTAGGAAAAAGTCCTGGTGGAAACATGTATTTTCAGCAATCTAATACAACCTAGTGGCAAGTCCTCTTGCTCTGGTATGATGACACCTGTTACAACAATCCTGACAGGTGTGAATTCCAACAATGCCGGCAATCTAATATGAAATATAAGAACAATTAGCACACTGAACCCAATACATTGTTTAATACAAACCAAGCTGGTGTAAATTAAATTTGCACCAACAGCTTTTATGCAGAAGGCATGTTTAAACCCAAAAACTTGTATTCAGTTTTAATATCTCCACCTCCCTTATTTCAAGCATATATACAAACCTGACTGGACAGATGATCTTGCCTCCCATCTTCCTCTGGTTCAGTGTCACACTATTCCAGCAGATACAGAAAGTCCTGTAAAGAAAGGATGTGCTGGTCAGTCATTATACAACAGAGCTAAGAAAACTTTGATGACCACAGATCATAAAGATATTTTGTGGGGGACTATCAAGGCAGTACAATGTCATACATACCTGGAACTAATGTCTCCTAGTTCTGAATTTTTTTACTTCTAAGAAACTGATAAGCCTGTTAGTGCTTAGACCACTGTACTACCAGAATACAGTGTTCCAAACAGAAGGGACTCTGAGGATCACAGGGTTCTATCCGTTATCCAGAGTAACACAGAAAGCATAAAACTTCATGAATACTGTAGCACAATGGCTTTTAGCTTTGAAAAATAAATTGTACTATGAATAAATTGGCTTGAATAAATGTGGAAAGTACAACATACCTTATAATAATAAAGACGCTTAGTACATCCAAAGTATCACACACAATAGGGCAAATTTGCTTAACTGATATAGGGAATCGTCTAATAAAATCTGTTTTATAGATTCACTGTCATAATTTCTCATACAAACAAGGCACTAAACAATATAATCCTGTCTTGCCTGTAATTATTAAAATTGAGTACTAATGTACTATTTTCAGACTTCTGTACTTCCACTTCACCTACAAAGATCAACTTCTATTCAGCCTTACAGGAGGCACACTTCATCTCTCCCCGCCCCCGCAGGTGAGGATAGCCTTGACCCTTGCGACCTACTGGAAATCCCTTAAAATGTGGCTTCTTCGACAGGCCTGGGGATTCCCTGCCAACAGGGAGCCCATGTGTTGGCTGCATCATGTATAATATTCTGATGCATTTTTTATTTATACCTAATTGTTTTAACTGGCTTTTGTATGTTTTAATTGTTGGTTTCATTGTATGCCACCCAGAATCACTTTGTGTGAGAAGGGCGGCTACATAAATTTGATAAAAAATTAACAATTATAATCTCACAGGAGGTTATTCTTTAGTATTACAAAGAAACTCTACTTACTTTATAGTGTGATTCACCAGGTGAAGCAGCAGTCTCGTCCTTCAATACATCAGTGGCCAATGATTACTATTTTAGGGTAGAATAGCCACTATAATCTTCTCACCTGCAAACAATAAGTATCACTTAAAAGATATTCATTCAAAATTTCAAAGTATTTAGCAATTATACAGTTCTAACAGGATACTCCAGGCCTAGGTGACACTGTTCACCTAGCCCTCAGGAGATTCCCCAAGTTAACATGATTTTTCTCCCATATTTAAGCCCTTGTCCAAAATCACAATATACTGAAGTTGTTTTATGAAGTGAGAATAGAAGCCTCCCACACCCAAGTTAGTCTTTATTGGGAAACATCTTTCCAAGTAACAATCCAAGTTTTCATAAAACACAAGAGGCTGGAAAAAATGAGAACAGAGAGGTAGCTGAATGAATCTTGAGTATTGTTTTAGCTGACTGCCTTCCTCCTTTTTGAAGTAGAATGTCAAGTTACAGGAGCCAGGCAAGACCTCCCCCCGGGATTAAAAAAAAAACAAAACAAAAAACAGATTGAGTCCAAGTTCTGCTAGGGTCCAGGGAGACCCCAGATTTGCCTAATAATTTGCCAATAACAAAGATCTGTTTGCTGCAGCAACAAGAATGGAGCTCTATGGGAGAAAAGATGCAGACATGAGCAAAAGAGTTACCTCGAAATACAGGACTATTTCCACAAATGAACTAGCCAAGAGCAGCTTTCGTCTCACATGGATCGCACTGAAGGAGGACAACACACTTCGGGGTCTCCAAGGACACTGGCTTCCACATGCTAGCAGAGAATTCTCACAGTGTAAGAACAGGACAGAGCTAACTACAGGTAGGGCCATCCAAACATCAGTTCAGCCTTAAACCTGAACAGAAGCCTCAGGCCTTCCAAATGTCAAAAGCTTATTTCTCTACCAGCTCAAAGCCATTTTTTTTTTCCAAACCAAGTAGGGCATACCCTACTTTTAGGAGCGTTTGTACAAGCAAGGCAGGTTCCTTCCCATGTCCTCCACCCTAGGAATACCAGTACTAAAGTGTATTACAGTTAAAGCAAGTAGCAACCATTGAAGGTTACTCAGTGAACTTATTTGAAAATTTCAGTGTTGACACATTACAAAATCAAATGTCACTATACAACTTACAATCTTTATACTTAGCATCTTGTTTCTTCTATGGCAATATAGACTTGCAAACAAGGAATACTGATTAATCACTACTAGTCAGAATCAAATCTGAGTTAAATTCACTATTGAATGACAAGTTTAAAAACTTTTTTAAGTGCCACTGTATTGAGAAATCCCACTGGGATCCTTATTAGCAATGCAGGTCTCCAGAGCTATTTCACCAACAGTCATCTCTGGGCTGCAATTTTTATTTCAGCCATTACCCTCCTAGAAGTAAAAATGATTTCCCCGAGTAGCACTGCAGTGTTGATCCCAACACACCTTCAAACATTCTAGAGTAACAGATATATTACCATGGATTTGGGTCATATTTGGTAGTATCCATTTACAATCCAAGACTCATTTGAAATCAAGATACATTAAGATTCTTGTACAGATAATGGTGTTAAGTCATGCTAGGACATTGCTTAAATACATTTTTTAGGGAGAAGCATAACTATCCCTAATTATCCCTCCCAATTTGAGTTTTTTGCATTTGTATTTCACACCTGCTTTTTGAGCTCTTGGCATACATAAAACCCTCATTACTCAGGTACCACTTCAGACCTTATCTAAAATGCGTTTACTTACTAGCCACTAAACTATCAAAGATGTGTAGTGCAAACATCAGGAACAGAGAATTGTTTCAGATGGGATTTTAATGGGCTTCGTAAAGCCAAAAACTTAGTACAGGAAGTTCCTTATTCACTTCAAATACAATTAATTGAATTATGCATATTTCTTCCAGTAAAAAATGGACAATATAAACAAACATTTTCAAGAACCTCTCAAAGCATTCGAGTTATAGGTTTACTTTACAGTAAAATAGCTTTTATATGATCAATGTGAATTATTTAACTCTTTAATAATACCAAGATTCTTTTGCCTTGTCACCCTTGCTTGTTATGCCAAGAGATGAACATCAAGTGATTGTACTTTTTCAAAAGTCTGGTCAGCTTCCAACAGGTTTAATTTGTAGGGCCCCATGTATCAAGTTAAAAAAAACCTTGGCTTGAGAAAGCAAGACAAATAAAACTGGATTTCAAAAATGCTTAAAAACCACTTGAAAAAACCCCTCTTGAGTAAAGTCTAACAGGCCATCTTGTAGAGGAAGCTTTCAGGCTACATGTGACAAAAGCTATATAAAGGGAAGGTCATGTAGGTAACTAAACAAGATTCAGCGAAGCTCCAAAAATCTTTATAAATACAGCCATTGGAAGGACGATCTTGAGTCAGGAAGGATTTTTACTCGGTGTGAGCTGAGGACAAGAAGCAGGTACAATCATAAAGGCACAGGTTTATGGACATGTTGCAGCAATTCACCACTCCTATACTTTTTAGATTAGTGTTGCTAGGAATCTTGGGCCCTCCCCCAGTTAGCACTCAGGCAATTTCTCAATTAGAAAGTTAATTCTTTAAGGTCCAACATGCACTCAAATTATTTATCAGTAACGTGAATGAAGGCCTGTAATCAATGGCAGATACATGGAAAAAAACACATTTGATATTAACTCAGTAGCTGTAGTTACTGCCACTATCCAGAGTAAGTTGGGGCACTGAAAGTTTAAGGGTATTTTGACAAGACAATTTTTTCACTCCCTTTCCATGGCCTACTTACCTCAGTTGTCATAGTTGTCTCTGTAAGAACCTCCTGAGGAGTACCGATCATTATAGCCTCCCTGACTTCTGAAAACAAGGATGAATACTTTATACCTATTCCCTGTAGAATTGATTTGTAAAACAATATATACCACCACAATTACCTGCCATAGTCCCGGGAACTACTGTAGCCTCCACTTCGGTTGTCATAACGGCCACCGTAACTTCTGTCTCCACCATAGCTTCTGTCTCCACCATAGCTTCTGTCTCCACCACCTACAATGAAAAAATGTTTTAGTAATAGCTGAATTTCAGAAACCCACTTCTACCCTTAGTTCAATCCATCAAATGTTTATCCCTGTTGTCTTCTTACCTCGGGAATAGCCACGACCTCGTCCCCTGCCTCCAAAGTAGCCACCTCTGGATCCACGAGAAGATTTCCCAGCATGATCAACTCTGATCTGGCGCCCATCTATAGACTGATAATGAACACATACTTTAGATGTGAAAATCATTTGATTAAAGAAATTAAGTGTCAGGGTGTGCAACTGATTATGTTTATGCACATTCTTCTAGACATAAAACCATTTCTTAAATTTAAAACAGAATTTTAGTAAATGAAGTAATATGAATGCTAAATGACAGTCACATTAACATAAATAAATAATAAAGCTACCATGGCTGGTGTGGGTCTTCTGGGCTGTGTGGCCATGTTCTTGAAGTTTTGTTTCCTAACGTTTCGCCAGCACTTGTGACCGACATCTGCAGAGTGCGGGAGAAAAGACAGAGGCATTTCTCTCTGGGCCAGGGGGAGGGGGGCAAAAAAAGAACTGCTCCTGTCTG